TGCCTGTGTGGTTGTGCTCTAGTGGCTGTGTGCGAGTGATTTGCCTCTGCGAGACACGGTGACTTGAGTGCATTTGTGTTCGTGTCCTGAGTGTGTCAATGTGTGCGAGGTGAGTACAGTGTGTGTGTGTGGAAGTCTCTGTGTGTGCAAGTTTGTGTGTGCGAGTGCCTAAACGTGTGTCTGTGAGGAGTGCGAGTCAAAGGTCTAAGTGTGTGACTGCGTGTGTGTGTGAGTTTGAGTGTCAGTGTGTGTGTTTGTGTGTTAATCTGGGCGCGTGTGTGTGTGAGTTTGAGTGTCAGTGTGTGTGTTTGTGTGTTAATCTGGGCGCGTGTGTGTGTGAGTTTGAGTGTCAGTGTGTGTGTTTGTGTGTTAATCTGGGCGCGTGTGTGTGTGAGTTTGAGTGTCAGTGTGTGTGTTTGTGTGTTAATCTGGGCGCGTGTGTGTGTGAGTTTGAGTGTCAGTGTGTGTGTTTGTGTGTTAATCTGGGCACGTGTGTGTGTGAGTTTGAGTGTCAGTGTGTGTGTTTGTGTGTTAATCTGGGCGCGTGTGTGTGTGAGTTTGAGTGTCAGTGTGTGTGTTTGTGTGTTAATCTGGGCGCGTGTGTGTGTGAGTTTGAGTGTCAGTGTGTGTGTTTGTGTGTTAATCTGGGCGCGTGTGTGTGTGAGTTTGAGTGTCAGTGTGTGTGTTTGTGTGTTAATCTGGGCGCGTGTGTGTGTGAGTTTGAGTGTCAGTGTGTGTGTTTGTGTGTTAATCTGGGCGCGTGTGTGTGTGAGTTTGAGTGTCAGTGTGTGTGTTTGTGTGTTAATCTGGGCGCGTGTGTGTGTGAGTTTGAGTGTCAGTGTGTGTGTTTGTGTGTTAATCTGGGCGCGTGTGTGTGAGAGTTTGAGTGTCAGTGTGTGTGTTTGTGTGTTAATCTGGGCGCGTGTGTGTGTGAGTTTGAGTGTCAGTGTGTGTGTTTGTGTGTTAATCTGGGCGCGTGTGTGTGTGAGTTTGAGTGTCAGTGTGTGTGTTTGTGTGTTAATCTGGGCGCGTGTGTGTGTGAGTTTGAGTGTCAGTGTGTGTGTTTGTGTGTTAATCTGGGCGCGTGTGTGTGTGAGTTTGAGTGTCAGTGTGTGTGTTTGTGTTAATCTGGGCGCGTGTGTGTGTGTGAGTTTGAGTGTCAGTGTGTGTGTTTGTGTGTTAATCTGGGCGCGTGTGTGTGAGAGTTTGAGTGTCAGTGTGTGTGTTTGTGTGTTAATCTGGGCGCGTGTGTGTGAGAGTTTGAGTGTCAGTGTGTGTTTGTGTGTTAATCTGGGCGCGTGTGTGTGAGTTTGAGTGTCAGTGTGTGTGTTTGTGTGTTAATCTGGGCGCGTGTGTGTGAGAGTTTGAGTGTCAGTGTGTGTGTTTGTGTGTTAATCTGGGCGCGTGTGTGTGGGGAGCGGTAGTTCGATTCCCCTCACGGCCAACACCAGTGGCGATTATCTGAACCGGTTCTGGCCCTCCCCTAGGTCGACTCAACCTCCAATGAGTACCTAGTGTGGTGTGTAAACATCGCCACTGGGGAGACAAAGGCGGTCGGGCGTGGTTGGTGGCCACCCCACCCCCTCGTGTGCCGTGCCGGCCTTCATAGGTGCTACTCGCTAACAGCACTTGCCCCTACAGTCTGTTAAGGCTATAACGGAGGATCTTTTTTCTTGTGTGTGTATCCTGGCGTGGTGCTGGCATTAGCGTGCACATAACCTGGCACAGGCGTCGTGGTGACGTCCACGCCACTTGATGGTAAATGGCGGTGGTTGTTGTTGTTGTTGGTGCTGACCACCCACCCCTCGTGTGCCGTGCCGGCCTTCATAGGTGCTCCCTAGCAGAAGTTTTCCCCAACAGCCTGAAAAAGGGTTTCCTCTATCGGGTGTCTCGTGTTGTGTGAAGTTCTTGCGTGAGCGATATGGGCTGCACGGGAAATCGTCGTCTTTGCTTATGTGTGTGTGAACACGTGTCTCTTTGCGTATGAGTGTGTGTGTTTGCGCCTGCATGTGTGTGCCTATTTTTCGTGTGGGAGTAAGTGTGCTAATGCACGAGAGTGTCTCTGATTTTGGGAGTTTTTTTGTGTATCGTTTGCGGCTGTGTATCGTGTGTGTGTTACCCATTTGTTTTGTGTGTTCTGTACGTGTGTATCTTTGTAATGCCATCATGTGCATTTGTGTTTACTTTGTTGCTATTTGTCTGAATGTGTGTGTGTGTGGTTTATGTCAGTGTAACTTTTGTGTTTCTGTTTGTGTCGCTGTGTGTGTCTTTGGGTGTGGTGCTCACTAACAGCCACTTGTTCCTCCAGTCTGTCAAGGCTATACGGGGGATCTTTGTTTTTGTACGTGGGGAGCGATGGTCTTGTTGTTTGCTGTTAACCCCGGTAACTTGAGTTGGATTCCTGGAAAGTAAACATCAGTTACGAGTGGTTTCAGAACTTATCCTGGGCCTCGCCGAAGGTTGATTCAAGCACTTTCCGCAGTGCCTACACTTAAAAACTGTGAAGGCAAAAAGGTGGCCAGGCGTGGCGATGGCCACACAACCTCATCGTGTGCCGTGATGGCTTAGATAAGTGCCCGCTACCACCACTTACCCTCAATGTATGTATGTATTGCTGTAGGGGAATTATGTTTGTTCTATTTATGTTTGGAGGTGTGTGTGTGTGTGCATGTCATCGGTGCTCGCTTAACAGCACTTTCCCAGACAGTATGTTAAGGCTATACGGGGGATCTTTGTATTTGTGTATGTCTGGGGGGAACGGTGGTGTAATGGTTATCACGCGTTGAACCCGGCGACCAGAGTTTGATTCCCGCTCGCGGCCAACACCAGTGTGGCGATTATCTGAACCGGTCCTGGACCTCCCCTAGGTCGACTGAGCCTCAAGTTAGTACCTGCTGCGATTTGTAAACATCGCCACTCGGGAGACAAAGGTGGCCAAGTGTGATGCTGGTCTTCAAAGGTGCTCTTTAACATAACGCGCCCCAGAAGTCTATTTAGGCTATGTGGGAGTTTTGGTCTTTTTCTTTATGTCTGTGCCTGGGACTCGCACTCACTACAAAACAAGCAGAGTGTGCCGGGCGGCTAAAACGCAGGGTTGGCACAGTGGGGAGCGTCAGTGGGGCATCTGCCAATAATCTCAGTCAACACAAACCCATGGCTCCTGGGCCTGTCCCCATGGCCTCCTACCAGTGACCATTCAGCACTTCATCTGGCACCTAACCCGGCACAAGGGTTGTGGTGATGTCACCGTCTCTTGTTTTTTTGTGTGTGTCTGTGTGTTGTCCGTATGTGTCTGGGTATTTGTGTACGTGTGTGCATGTGTCTTGTCTGGGTGTGTGCACCTTTCTGTGTGGGTGTTGTGTCTTTGTGTATTTGGGTGCTGTATTTATGTGTTTGTGTCTTTGCCTTGTCTGTGCATTATTTGTATTATCTATATGTGTTTAAGTGTTGTATGTGTTATCCATGTCACCTGGTCTGTCCCTTTGACACTTCACGTGGCCTCAAAGTGCACCTAGCCTGACACAAGTGTTGTGGAGATATCACCGCCACTTGGTGGCGACAGCGGTGGTCACTGTGTTGTCTGTGTGCCTCCTTTTGTGTATGCATACGAGAACCCCCGTAATACTGCCACGACCGAATCGTGACCTCTCTCGTATTGACCACCCTCAACGATGATGACACGACGTGCGCATTTAACCATTGAGTGCCGCGATGCGCCACCTTTACGTTCATGATGCATTCAGCCTGTAAATACACGGGCAGCGCTGCCCTGGGTACATCATCGCCGTCTCCGCTTTGTCGGTTCAGACATTCGGCCGGAATTCACCGTGTCATCTTAACGTAACACGTGTACCATGCTGTAATGGCACCTGCATCGAGTTCAAGGAGGGTACAAACGCTGTTCGCCACTGCTACTGCGTTACATTTCCGAGCCCGTGTCAGAGCGCGCGCGCGTGGTTACGGTGGGCAGTTGCAGGAATAGTTATTTGCGAGTCGGTCCACCTTCTGGATCGATGCTAAAGTTGAAGCTTTTTAAGTGTCCAACGCGTGTTTAAAATACGCTTTAAACCCCGGCGAAGATAGCCTCTGTCCTTTCTATTCTGGTGTCGATGTGGTGTGTGTTGCACCGGCCACACCAGTTTCCCCGAGAGAACGGCACCGCTAACAGATGTTCGCCCAGGCTCGAAATTTAATACAAAGTGTCCGAGATGCATCAAGAGCCTCCACACCAGCGCAAGCCCTGTGCAAAGGGGCCTCTCATGGCCGCAAACATTATACTTTTAATGAACAAATTTCGCGTGCGAATCATGTTTATGCTATTGCGTTACACTGTCAAAAATAAGCACGTTATTTTAAAAAGGGACAGTGTATTCTCAAGTAGTTTCCACTTGACGCACTATGCTATGAATGGATATGCAGCGGAGGACATTTTCTCCCCTCGCACTTCTTAGTGGGAGCCTTCGGTTGAACATATTTACACATTTCTTGAAAGGAACTTGTAGCATTTGACGCGCTAGTAGTTCCGGTTATTGAATGGACGAGACACAACGTTGGCATTCTCTGTTCATCACTACAACGTAAAGGCGATGACATTTTCCCCACATCTCAACGAAAGGCTCATGGTACCAGTCATTGGTGAAAATCTGTTCACTAATTCTGCTATTTATCATATTGCAATTTAGTCCTTATTCTCGAACCAACTACATTAGACCCCAATTTAATTGTATCCCCCTCCACCAGTGTGTGGATACTCCCACGACGTGTGGCCAGTGTGGAATAAAAGACTAAACATACCCTCGAGAGAGGGGCTCTGGAGCTCCCTCTGGTGGAGGTCGCGATGCCAGCAGAGGTCGAACGAGCAATCGGAGGGGCTTCGTCTTTAGGTTCCCCCCCCCCACCACCTCTGATGTGCCATGGTATCATAATTAGATTACATGACCGTCGAATGAAATTATAGCGTGCGTACGTCGTTTTGCTGCTCACTGCTGTGCGGTTTCTAGGTTCCTACACGGGTAGAAGATGGGGGCGTTTTTGGACAAGCCGAAGACGGAGAAGCACACGGCGCACGGCTCTGGCAACGGGATGTGCTACGCCCTGAGTAGCATGCAAGGCTGGCGGGTCGAGATGGAGGACGCCCACGCCGCGGTGCTGGGGATGCCACGCGGCCTGAAGTCGTGGTCGTTTTACGCTGTCTTTGACGGGCACGCGGGGTCGCGCGTGGCCACCTACTGCTCCGAGCACCTGCTGGAGCGCATCACCAACACCAAGCCCTTTCAGTTGCTCGTCCCGCCGGCCGAGCCGGGCGTGGATGACGTCAAGCAGGGCATCCGGACCGGTTTCCTGGAGATCGACGAGCACATGCGCACCATGTCCGACATCAAGAACGGGCTGGACCGCAGCGGCACCACGGCCGTGTCGGTGATGGTCAGCCCCAGGCACTTGTACTTCATCAACTGCGGCGACTCGCGAGCGGTGCTGTACCGCGACGGGGGAGTCCACTTCTTCACCGAGGACCACAAGCCGTGCAACCCGCGCGAGAAGGAGCGCATCCAGAACGCGGGCGGCAGCGTCATGATCCAGCGCGTCAACGGCTCGCTGGCCGTCTCGCGCGCCCTCGGGGATTTCGACTACAAGAGCGTAGACGGGAAAGGTCCCACCGAGCAGCTCGTCTCTCCCGAGCCGGAGGTGTACGAGGTGGAGCGCAGCGACAAGGACGAGTTCATGGTGCTGGCGTGCGACGGCATCTGGGACGTGATGTCCAACGAGGAGCTGGGCCAGTTTTTACGTTCGCGTCTGCTGCTGAGCAACGACCTGGAGAAGGTTTGCAGCCAGGTCCTGGACACCTGCCTCCACAAGGTCTGTCACCCTGCCACGCACTCGTCTCACTGTAGCCGTCGCACTATGCCCCCTTTTGAGGGACGATGTTGAAAGGCAGACACAATAAAGGCTGCCACGATAAGCGTTGTTTATTTACCGAAACACTGCAGGCTGCACGGCCGCAAGCCGGCCGTGTGGCAGGGAATGCGCCGCGTGTCTCGAAAAGGGATTCCTTGATTTCACGGTCTAAAGATATGGCTAACCAAGTGTGGCTCGGTAAATGAGAAACCCTTGCCCCCCCCTCCCCTATGGCCCCATGTGTAAGCTTGACAAGCCGTGGAACAAGGAATTTTCTTTGTGAAACCATGAATGAGCTCGTAGGGTAGTGAAGCGTTGACGAGCGCGGTGCTTTTCACGAAGGTTCCTGAACCGGTTACGAGCATTCCTCTGCTTGTGCTGTTTTGCAGGGCAGCCGAGATAACATGAGCATCGTGCTCGTGTGCTTTCCCAACGCTCCCAGGCCCTCGCCTGAAGCCGTGAAACAGGAGGAGGAGCTCGACAAATTCCTGGAGCAGAAGGTGGAAGGTGACTCTCCTCTGTCGAGCGCACTCCCCACCCCCCTCGCCACCACCCTTGGATTACATTTTCTTATCGGCAGCGGATAAATAACGCCCCCCCCCTGTCCCGGCACCTGTTTATTGTGTCTCTTCGGAACGGTGGTACCGAGCCGGTGCCTAATTGAAGCGGTCCACGCTCGGTGTCGCGTAGCTAAAAACAAACGTAAGTGCGTTCATTGTGGCTCTGACTTGGGCATAGTTTTTCTCTCCACATAGTGGGCTATTTCGAGGTGGCGGCCCTCATTAACAGTGCACCCATAAAGGGGTGTTTTACTTTTTAAGCCATAAGACCACATCAACGACTTTGTAGGCATGATGCACTTGTGAAGGTTGAAGGAAACTAGGGATGGCACTCTCCCATCTTTCTGCCTTCTGCCACACCACCCGGCCTTACCGTCCCTCAACCTGTCACCATTTACATCACTGCAATCCTCTCCAACCAACAAGTATTATGTTTAACCACGTAGGCTTTCGTCACCAATATTATCCATGAGAGGGTTTTTTTGTTTTGGGTGAGATCACGTAAATATAAATGTTTCGGTGGCGGCGGATTTAATGATACATTTATAATGATGCTTTCTAACCCAAAAACTTTTGTTATGGATGTAGGTGCGATCTCACGAGCAATATTATCCACAGTGAAGGGTTTTTTGTTTTTGTTGGGGTTTGATCGTGTTATTATGAATGGTGGCAACGTCACGGTTACTCTAATTGTAAATGTTGCTGTGGGTTTACTCTCCAACGCACACACCACTGGTCAGTGCTGAACTCGTAAACTAATTGGCCACGTTTCGTTTATGTGACACAAAGCTTATTCACTGGCTGTTTTGGGTGGTCGCAGGTTTAATGACACATTTATATTTACGTGATCTAGCCCAAAAACAACTATTATGGCTCAAAGTCTTCTTCCACCCTCGATCCTTGGCCTAGTGAACTCGTCACTCACTGTCTTCCTACCCTGGCCCTCCACCTCATCCGGTCCCGATCCCTTGTCTCGCACGACGGCTGCTGTTACTGCCATTCTGTTGAAACTCCCCACGATGGACCCAAGCATTCTTGCAAAGATCCATCCTCTCTCAAGCCTCTCATTCATAACAGGGGTCACCTACTCCCATATCTCCAGACCCCTGTCCCTCCGCAGTCTCCACGACTCAGTCCAATCAGGTTTCTGCCAGGGCCATTCTACTGAATCTGCTTCTGCACAGGTGGTAAATGACCTTCGTCTCGCTTCAGATAAAGAATCCTTCTCACTCCGATTTCTCTGAGGCCTCCCCGCAGCTGTTGACACCACGGATCACTCAATTCCCATCCTCCTTGATCTCCTTCATGGCCGTGCAGGCATCTCCACCACACTCGTCTCCTGGCTGCGGTCTTCCCATCTTTCACGTTTCCCGGCACGAACTGCTTGCCCTCCTCTCACACATCCCTGTGCTTGTGGTGTCGCACAAAGCTCCATCCTCGACCCCTGTTGCTGTTCTCAATAAATCCCCCCCCCCTCTTGGCGAAATCGTTTTCAGTTTCATTGTCAACCTGAAGACACCCGGCCAGCTACATCGCCATTGACCCCATGAACCCTCCCTCACTGTTCACTCTCACGCGCTGCCTTGACCACGGTCACCTCTGATGGATTCCACCGCACGTTCTCCAGCAGTGCCAAAACAGAAGTAAAACATCGATGTGTATTTGTAAACAGCCACCTTGTTCACGTTGTTTCAATTCTGGCAACAATTAAAATACTTGTGTCAATTAAGCCTTAAATTCTAAGAATACATGTCACACGGTGGTTACGTTTTGAGGTAGGAGTGTGCGTGTATTGATTGTGTCGGTACATTGTCACGGCGCCACTTCGAGAGTCGTCATGCCTGTTGAGTGTGCTCTTTTCACGGGTGACTTCAACTTCAAAAGCTGTCCTGATTGCCGAGACTTAAAGCGAATGTGTCCCGTACGTTATAAACCTTTGGGCTTGATTTACATTGATTTTTTATGACGTTTTAAAAAAAAACGAGACATTCATGTTGCGTGGCACGAGTTGTGCTCAAACTGGAAACTTAACAGGTATGCGAGTTATCGAATTTCACTTGAGCATCACGCCTCATCGGAGAATGGGAGAGCGATGCCTGCTGTCTAACGTATGGCGTGCCCGTGAGTAAACGTCGCGTGGACACGCGCCGTGTCCTTGGTCTACATGGAATTTATGGGTGCCATCTGGAAGGAAAAAAATACATTCCCAAAACCAAAAAATGCAACAACGAGCAAAGCAGCATCCCCCATGGCGGCGTGTCGTCAGCCGAGTCCTCCACTTTGCGCAGAAATGCCCTGCGGCCAGCCAGTCCCAGTTTTGTCCGTACTGCAACTGCCGTAGCATTAGATGGTGGATTGTGCGCATTCCAGAATTGGCTTGTGTTGATTGATGGCTTGTTTTTCACCTTTATTTATATACATGTTTTTAAACACAGAGCAATTATAGGTTGTCAATAGGAAACATTTTGGCTTTGTGGAAATTACGTGGTTTTTGTTAAGAAAATTGGATTTCTAACAGGGTCACCCCAACCACTGAATTAGACCCCCCCCCCTCCCCGTGTTTCAAGGACACATAGCCATCTCGGAAAATGTAAAAGGACACGCGTCCTTTAAGTAAGCGCATATGATGTGTGGGTGTGTGTGATGATAGAATGTTAATGTCTGTGCTGGCACACCGGCCTACATAAGGTAAGCATTCAAAGCCTGCTTGCTTGATGGCTCGCTTTGCGTTTGTCCAAAACTCTGCCGAAATGAAAGTTGGCAGCGATGTTAAATAGTATTGGAACAGGAGTTCTTCTCTACGTGGTCCATATGAACATGTGCCCCCTAGTGGAGAAATCCTGATTCTAAACCAGGGTTTCCCTAAGGGCATGGTTGCTTATTACTCAGCAGGGACATCTTCTTGAGTTTATCAAATCGTCTCTTTTCAAATCCGATTTGTAACACACTGCGCTTGCCTGATGATTGCTAAACATGCCACAGAACGGTAATTATTTTAATCCGGTCTCTCAATATTTACACGAGGTCTATTATCGGGAACGTGTGGCATAAATATATTTATTTATAAATGTACGTGCAAAGCCCTTTGGTCAATCCACTGCTGCATGAGGGGCCTCCCCCCCCCCCCCCCCCCCACACTGTCCTGGTCAGGGTTATTCGTCCATATTTCAACTATACTGGCCACTCCAGGTTTGGAAGTGGCCAGTATAGAACAGCAATGGATTTCGCTGTCCTGCCTTTTATTGACCACCACAATCCAAGCACTGCGCGGGTTCAACACGACGATTTTTGCCACGGGGCAAATTGTATCCGTAAATTAGTATTTGTGAGCTGAACGGGAGGGGAATTGTGGTTAACCAGGAAATGCGTGCCGTGGTGGGTCTCGAGGAATGGCTTCTGGGGAAACCCTAATGTAAACAGCCCTGGGGGGGGGGGGGCGAGGGCTTTGTTTCTTTCTCTAACAGGATGCCAGCACCAATGTTAAGCGGCTTCCACTGTGCGTTCGCCCGTGTCACGGGCCTGCGTCGGCTTCTGCTGGCGAGCGCGGCGGCGTCGTCGGAGGCTCTCGCCCGCACGTGCTCGCCTGACTGTTTCCCAAAAGAGTGCCTGTGTGTGCCCTTCCTCGTCAGAGTTGCTGGAGAAGCACGCGGAGGACAGGACCCCTGACATGCCCTCGGTAATGCGAGTTCTCTCCTTGGAAACTATCCCCAACCTTCCACCAGGAGGGGGCCTGGCTAGCAAGTAAGCGGCAGAGCGTATCCCGCGAGCCAGCGGCCCCCCCCCCCCCCACCCCCCCCCCCCCACCGTGTCCCACCTCGTTTGGAATGGCTACATATGTAGTTTGCACCTAACGCTTCTCTCTAATACAGGTCGCCCTTGCAAAAGTGGCAGTGTGTCCATGTGGGTTTTATTTCACCCGCTGGTTAAATTAAAGGATTAATGCTTCATTTTATTGACTTTGTTTACATTTCCAAATTTAATCTTAAACGAAACAACTGATAGAAGCCGTGCTCTTAAAAAAAGTGCAGGTTATGGAATTTCGAGAATTTTGGAGAATTACCAGATTGTTTATCTCCACCCTCTTTTGCATTACAATGATCAGAGTTGAATGTTGTAATTCTGTGCGCTTGTTTTTTTTCCCTCCATAATTGTTGCTTTGTCGATGTGTGTGCCCTTTGGTGTTATCTCAGTTTGGGGATCCCTCTGCTTCGTACTTGAAATTTGCAGCCATTTTTATCAGTCTACTGACCATACACGTCACCAATCTGAGCAACACGAGTTGTGAATTCGGAGGAGCATAGACATTGGAGCAAAGTATAGTACAACAATAGATGTAATGCCCTGCCTTCTGTTGGCCACCACGTAGTCTCCGCAGCATCACGTGACACCGGAATTTATGCCTGTGGGCGATTGGCCCATCCACACGCTATCCAGGCTCAACGCCTGCTTAACTTCCGAGGTCTGGTGAGCTCGAGTCGAATCTGTTTTTTATTTTTATTTTACCAGGTAAGAGCCCACTGAGCTATATAGCCGTTCTTCAGAAGCGACCTGGCCACAAATGATAGCTCAACGAAGTGACTTACCATCACGTGGAAATGGAGGGAAGACCCGGAGAAAAATCCACGCAACCATGGGGAGAACATGCAAACTCCAAATATACAGCAGGCGTCAGCGTCGGGATTGAACCCACGACCTCCTGTATACCAGGCGATGCAATTAACATCTTACCACCCGCGGTGCTTATCACAATAGCCCAGCGTCGTTGTGTGTAGTCAGCTTCGACAACACGGTCGCCACGATCGTAATGTGCATAATTGTTCATTGCTCTATTATTGTTGGATCGTCGCAATCTGTGCAGCCCTTCAACCAATTCTACTTGGCGACCGCCAGGGGGCGCGAGTGGCATAGGAAGCGCATTCGAAATGTCATCAACATGTGCGTGATGGATATTGAAAAAGGTGCCCGATAAGAAAACAACAAATCCTTTTGGCACACACCTTGGCACTTTTCTCTCCGCAAGCACGTGTATTCTATTAAGTACTGGTGTGCGTTTGCGCCAGAGTAGCTGCTAGTTACGATGTATGGAGGAGGAGCAACCTTCACCCAGAGGAACCGTCTAATGCTTCATGTAGTCATCGCTAGCATCCCTGATGACGGTGGACGGAGGAGGGCCGTGGGCGCACTGCGTCGTGAACGAGAAGCGTGGGAGATGGTGACGGCTCGGTGGCGGGAGCTCTTCGTCCAGCAGTGGGGATAGATCATGGCTGATGATGACGATGACATCCTCGCCCGACCGTTGGACCAGATGACGCCTCTTGGCGTTAGATGACGCCTCTTGGCGTCATCTGGTCGAACACCATATGAGACTAGGCTCTAAGGAAAGCTGTCTCTGGTGTGGACCAATCAGTTTCAAGAGTAAAGCCCAATTTTAGTGAAAAAGCATGTCTTCCAAACGCCCAAGTATGTCTCCTGCTGGTAGTGAAAAAAAGAAGAGGACATCTTTAGCGATTTCATTTTAGGGTTACCACGATACGATACGTTCAATGCATGTTAAACGTTTTTATAGCAGATAGGATTGTTTCCTGAAAAAACTTTCTATTAAATTGCAGTTCATATAGGTAGGCTAAGAATTTACCTTGGTTTTTTTACTTTACGTTTTACTGTGCAATACAGTCTTGTAATTAATAAATACATACAGTATATAGTTTATACAGTACGATACTGTAAATTGCTCTGTTTTGCTAAATTATCACCATTCTTTAAGACTCCTGGGTAGGCTAGGCCATCTTGGACTTAAGATATTTTTGACTTACGATGGGGTCGTCGTAACGCATCTCCATCGTAAGTAGAGGACTACCTGTACGTGGCTTTTAGTCCACTTGCTGTACCGCCTTCTCCTGACGAGCCAGGGTATGGCACCTCCTGTACACCCGCAGGACAACATTCGTGTGATGCACTCGTTTCCGGTGCAGGGTTACAGGCCACATTCGTAGCCAGCACTGCTCGCCTATAATGGAAGCACATGGGGATAGAGCAGATTTTTATTCTTTATACAGCTCACGTATAGTTTTTTTTCTGACAAAAATGTTGGCTGTGGATCAATAAAGCATTTTTCTAAGGTTTTAGTGGTGAAGAATCCCCAGAAGCCAGGCTTTGTAGTGTGGGTAATCATGTATTATAATTGTCGGGCAATCATTAGCTTTGTCTCGTGTGGAGTTGTGGCGCGTTTTAGTCAAATCAGCTTGGCAAGTGGAGTCATGTGTTTTGGTTTGTGATGTTTTAACAGAAACATCTGCAATATCTACAGTGTCCTATAGCTATCCATTTACAGCATTTATTTATGCCGATCCACTGCTGATACGGGGCCTCCCCCACACCCTGTGCTGGTCACGAGGGTCGTTTGACCAGACTGGATGCTGGGCCGTTGGGGTTGGGGAAAGCGGGGAAGCATAGATGTGGAAGCATGGACGTACAGTACAACAATTGATGTTTACGCACTGTCCTTTGCTGGCCATTGCAAAGCCCCACAAGCTCTGTGACAACCTCTTTATGCATGGTTGGTCACCCATCCAAGGACTAATCCAGGCTCATTTTAGCTTAGCTTGCAAGATTTGATAGGACCGGGTGCGGAGTGATTTTTAAGAGTTTTCTGCATTTTGTATGCACACGGACGACGACGATGATGATGATGATGATACACATCCATTTGTCATCCAGCAGTATAATGTGCCTCTTGTGTCAGCTTATATTTATACAGAAAATATATGCCGGGGAAAACAGTTGTTTGAAGAATTATGTTGTCATTTAAATGAATTATTCATGACACTCTGAACTAACATCACACATAAAATTTTTCATGAGCGTCGTTTATAGGTGGTAGTTAGAGAAGATGATGGGGTTTGCTTATTTTTTTATGCAATACTTGCTGCTATCTAATCGTTTGATTAATTGTATGAGCTCCAATTTCCAGCTATGTATTTAAAGTTCCAGACACTGAATATATCCTGAGTCCGTGTTGTTTTTGCACAGGCGGAGTGTGATCGAGACAGTTTACAACCGACTGAACCCGGACAGGGAAGATGAAGTGGTGAGTTCAACTCACGACACGTTCTACAACATCCCTTTGCTGTTGGGGAGGAGTGGTGGCACAGTGGGTAGTGCACAGCGCTAAGAACCCGCCGACCTGAGTTGGTTTGAATCAGGCCACGGCTAACATCAGTGGCGCCACGGTTAACATCAGTGGCGCCACGGTGGCAAGATGTAATCTGCCATGCCTGGTATGCAGGAGGTCGTGCGTTCGATCCCGACCCTAATGCCTGTACATTTGGAATTTGTATGCTCTCCCTGTGGTCATGTGGAATTTTCTCCGAGTCCTCCGATTTTTCCCTCCACATTTAGAAACATGCATTGACAGCGATCATTTGAGACCAGGTCGCCACTGAAAAATAGCTTTTTAGCTCAATGGGCCTTACCTGGCAAAAAACATTGTAAAAATAAAATGATAACTGAACCAGTCCTGAGTCCCCCCCCCCCACCCCACTGCACCACCCTGCACTGACCAGCATGGTGAAGTATGCTCAAATATCACCCTTGGCCGAAAGGCATAGGGAGGCCTTCATCCAGCAGTGGATTGATAATGGACTGTGCATTGTTGCTGAGATTGCAGAATTCGCTGGTGAACTCTGAGTGGAATGCTTTGTTTAGGCACCGACAGAGTTTTCCTTGTACATTGCATCCTTGAGCAGGTAGAACTCGTTTTATTTGATTACACAGATAAACAGAAAGATCCACGTCTTCGTGTTTCTTTACTTTAGCAGTACAGTGCTAAAACGTATACTTACAATAAAACAATTGCGTATCTAAATGACAACGTACGGCCCTTTTCTCAATCCACTGCTAGATGAAGGCCCTTTCCCATGCCGTGTCAGCCATGGAGGTAGTCTGACCATACTTGATCAAAATTCGCCATGCGGGTCAGTGTAGGTTGGTGAAGGGGTGTCACGGTGGCGAGATGTTAATTACTTCACCTGGTATACAGGAAGTCATGGGTTCGATCCCGACCCTGACGCCTGTATATTTTGAGTTTTCATGTTCTCCCCTTGGTCGCGTGGGTTTTTCTCCGGGTCCTCCACATTTAGAAACAACACGTTCGGGGTATTTGCCTGCTCTAAATTCCCACATGATGATAAGCCACTTCGTTGAGCTATTATTTTTTTGGTGAGGTCGCTTCTGAAAAAGAGCTGTACAGCTCAGTGGGCCTTAGCTGGCAAAATCAAAATAGTTGTTGACTTTTAAGTGGAGCGGCAGGACCGGTTAAGATATTTCTTATCTATTATTTAACAGAATAATTATTTAATTATTATTATTTAACAGGATAATAGATAAGTGTTCTATTATTAAATTTATTTTCTTTCGACGTGACTTTACCGAAAGAACCAAAGAATATTTCTTATTGTTGATGTTCGCTGTGACCGGGAATGACGTGCAGGTCTCCGTGTTCATGGTACAGTCCGCTCGCTGTTCTCGCTGTTCAAGATACCGCTCCGCCCCTTTAACTCTTTACTTACAATAAAATATTTGCTCTTTGCAAAGCGGTTCTTTTAAATATACCCCTTTGTCGTTTAACGCCAGGACATTTAGTTTAATTGCGCAATAGTTTTGTGTTTGTTGTGCTTATCATGGAACGGTTCTGAATTACTTTTAAGCAGTGGGATGTTTTTTAATGTTATTGCCAATACGTTGCTCAAATACAAGCTATAGGGTAAAATAAGCCATAGCTTTAAGATGCGGGCAGAATAATTCAGCTTTAAGATAGCATTTAAGTATTAGTTTTTGGAACAGCGTTGCAGATTTACTTTCAAGAAGTACATGCTGTACATTTCTCTATTTTTAGTTTACTCAGAAAATTGGCTCATCAACAGGCAAGGACAAGACTTGTCTGGCCCAACACTGCGTAAACATGTTTTTCTGCCTTCTGCTCGTTGTATTTCCAGCAGCTAAGAACATGAGCGCACATCGGGTCCATTTGGTTTTGAAGGCTGTAGCCATAGGGGCTCTTTGCTCTTTCACCTCTAGTCTCCACTCCAATCGCCTGTGTGCTTTCTCGAGATTTGTTTTTCACGGCCACTGTTTCTGGGCAAGATCCCGTGTTCTTGATGTCACACTGCGGTCACAAGGAAACGCAGAAAGGGGATGTTCAATTACAGCAATGCGTAAATACGAATGCTTTGGTAAGGTTTCGATGTTAACTCCCCTTTTGGGCAGAATGCGTTGGGTGTTCTACGACAGTTCTAACATGTTTAGTGTTTCAGAAAAAAAGTCTCTCCCCGTGCTGGGGTTGCACTATCTGCTTCCTATTTTTCCGTCCACATTTTGTATCCTTTGATTCGACTCTTACCGAACAAAAACAGATCCGAGGCTGCTGTATATTTTTCTAGACTGGAACAATACAAGGGCGGGTCCCTCTGGGGGGACCGCCATCTGGCCCCAGCTGATAATGGTTGGGACCTCAAAACTTTAAAATCGCCCGACGGGATAAACAAGAAAGACTTCGATGAAAAACTGGCAAAGAATGTTTTCACTAAAAGCTGCCTGGGATAGAGAAGCCAGGTTTCAAAAAAAGTAGCTTCGAAAAATATATAAATGCACTGCATTCCAGGATGTCTGAACTGTGCTAATCTTGTATAATATGAGGATTAAGGGATTATTCAAGCAATTAAAGTCGAGCAATCCAATTCTTGCATTTTTTTTATCAAACCATGGGTTGTAATGGAGAGCCTTGCTATCGTCCTGCCTATACCCTGCCATAAATAGTGCGCTCTCTTCTTACTGCCGGAATCAACCAACTGTATGGCAGTGTTCAGGAGCAGTGCTGCATGTGCTGTCTATCAAAAGGTTGCAGTGAATAACATGAAAAGAATAATCACGTGTAATTATAGCAGCTAAACAGCCTTTGTCAAAACACTGCAGTATAATTTCATGTAGGGGTTGTTTAACCACACGTTATCACGTTGGTCAGTCCAAGTTGGTCAAAGGGGGGTGGCCGGGATCGATACCATTTCACTCGCCACTGATGTTAGACGTGGCCGGCAATCGAACTTGGGTGGCCGGGTTTGCGACACTCGTGATCCACTCCACCGTAAAAAATGCTACAATAATTTACAGCCATTTGTACGTATGTTGAACTTACTAATAGGGTTTTTTCCCTTTTTTCTGGCAACAAAACTGACACCTTTTGCAAAGAATCATGCTTACATTAACCACAATACTTGCAGTCAAATGCAAACAAAAAACAATACTCTGATAATTGATGTATTGTCCTTGAAACTGATTGGTCCACACCAGAGACAGCTTTTCTTAGAGCCTAGTCTCATACGGTGTTCGACCAGATTACGCCAAAAGGCGCCTTTTGGCGTCATCTGGTCGAACACCATATTAGTATATTTTGGTCCTGGCAAAGGAGGCCTCTTGATATGTTGAACTTACCGTACGTAGCCAGTCGTGCTAAAAATGGCCTTCTCTATACCTCCCACTGGTTATGATGGGTTGTGGAAGAGAGGAACCCAGGAATGGTTCAGAAAACACTTGCCACGCATTAGGCCGTGAATCGAACTTTGGTCACCAGGGTCATAGCCCAGTGCCCTGACCACTCCGCCACTACACCCCCATAACCATTGATGCAATGTTGTATGTATGTTGAACTTCTTTCACACCGTACGTAGCCAACTGTGCTAGTCGGAGGTGCGGGGGAAAGCCAGCAAACTGTAACGATGGCATTCTATTTTTCTTTCCCGACAGAGCTCTTTGGACACCGACGATGCCTGGTAGCCTCACTGACAAGATGCCTTTTGAAAGAAATGTTTTAGGTGAATCCATATTTGCTGTTCTGCCATGTGGAGCAGATAATGACAGCTTTAAAGTGGCTGCTGTCTGATGTTTGCCCTGAAAAGTTAATTATTTGACGAGAGGTGTAAAGTGTTACTTATGAAAGCCGATGGTGAGTGACTTGCAGTTTTTATCTTCGGCAGCTTTTGGGGTTTGCCACAAATGAGAAGTGACTGCTGTTGATTGATCAGAGTGTGTCGGAAAGTTGAATAGACAGAGCAATTAATTCACCTTCTATATCTCTTTGTCAACCGTTTTTGCCTAACTCTTTTCACTGTGTGGCATGGGTTTCAAAGAGGACTAGGTCTCGGACCATGTTTAATTCCATCGCACGTGTCGTCGCGCAGAGCTCATGAGGGGACGAAGATGGGCGAGTTGTTTGTCCGTGATGACGAGTGTACGGTAGCTAATGGTGAACTTTAAACCCACGACCCCATTACCCCCACCGGTCCGTTCAGCCATCGTTTCACTGACGTGGGTAATTTAATTCGTTTTTCTTTAATGGCTTCAAGAATAAACCTTTGATGATATTGCACTCAAGTGACAATAAACGAATATTTATTAATGTTTCTCAAAGTATTTTCACGTTAAATTTTAAGCTCAACCACATTTAAAAACAGCACGCTATCAAACTGATTTACCAGTGCTTGATGTTTATCTAATATTTAATTCAAGTTTATTTTACTACAGTTGTGAGTGTTTAGTTTATTTCAAAGTAATAAAATGTGTACCAAAGAAAGACCGAATTTTATATTGGAGATGAAAAAATTTAGGGTGGGTAGGCGACGATAACCCTGGGACACCCTTGCAAACAAGATGTTCCATGTCGAGATACAAAAAAAATAACAAACACATGTACGTACGTACCGTGCAATTGTGGGCATCGTCCTGGTCGAGCGTGTGATTGTCACTTGATTCGGGGAGACCGCACAAACTACCAATTTGCCATTTACGTTTTGATTATTATCCACGTTTGTTTTGAGTAGATTACTAAAAGAGTTGAAAGCCATCATCATGTAATGCTCTTTTATTATAACAAGTTGATTATTGCAGCGGCTAAAGAATGATTTGACTATGATTATAATTACTTGATGCTTTTTAGTGGACGTTTTGGTCATCAATCCCGACCATACGAAAGTGCGATTTGCAGTCAACCTGCCATACTGACAATTCCGACTCGCGTGCACAGACACAGGTGATTCAGTGCACGTTTATTTCCTGCAAACTAAAATATTTTCTCAAGAACCGAAGGAGTTACACTTTTACCATCTTCAACCAAGGGTGCGATCCGGTTTTTGTCTTTCCTCGATGCGACATGTACGACCACATACAAACCGTTCAAATTAAAGTCTGTGATGTAGGAGCATTTCGCTTTTGAGTCACCTGCGATTGCATTCACGTCGACAGAACTGCAAAAAATGCCTCGCTTGCTTCAAATCGATTAATTCCACCGTTATGTGTGTTGCCTCTGGTGGCCAACAACTCTCGATGTAACGCGACATTATCAGCAGAACAAACAGGCTGAACATTGCAGTCTGTGTTGTGATCATGGCCCGTTTCAGAATGTTTAACTTTCAGTCTATAGTCCTTTATAGTCTGTTTTATTGATTACCTTCAACAACATGTTTTAACGAAAAATGCAGTTGTCAAATTTTATACGGTAATTGCAGTATTTAATATTGATATATATGTGTTTAAATTAAACGATTGTTATATTGAATTGTTAACATGATGCACTGCAAAATGGCATTTTAAAGAGATGTTGTACACTTAGTTTTTAAATGCGTTAATGGCCAGTAAAACAGAAATTCATACATTTGTATGATGTACGGGTGTTAGATTATTCTTCTACATATTTTTAACCTGAGACCTCAAAAAATAGTTTTGACTTCTACAATATCTCTTTAAATGAACTGCTTTGTATTTGTTATGTACCGGTAAACAAATATGGACTGTCAATATTGCTGTTTTGCACATTTTGGCATGCTTTTAAAAAGGGTTTAACTCTTCTGAGGATTTTGTAAGGTTATACGTTGCCTTTGGAAACCCCTTTTGGACGTTGGCTTAGTGGCGCATACCCAGAGGGAAATAAAACATGTTGACTGCGCTACACGTAAGCCTGGATTTCTCGTCGGTCTTCCTGAATAACGTGATCCCGACCAAGTAGCTACCGCACAGTAGACACGCACCAGAGCTCTGCTTCCGCTCGCCTGTGTGTCCTAGTTTGGTTTTTAAAAGTTTTCACCCTGCCGCCCCCCACGGCCCCCCCTACATGCGAAAATATCTCCGGAATGTGTGAACACCCACTGGCCTGACGGTGTGTTTTTAATGGACAATTAAACTCATTGCTTCATCAAAAAATTGTGTTTTTTTACAACTGTACCTCCCATCCCTAAAAAAAAATGTAATGTGATATCCGACCTTTTTGTGAGGCACATGCTTGTGTGTATGACTGGGCTATGGGTTGGTGATGGGGCTGCCCAGCACCACTTCAGATGTCACACACAGTGACTAAAGTCAGCCGCGGCTGGGAATCGAACCCCCTTTGCGGGGTTCTCAGCACGGACATGCAGTACACTGAGCTACGGTCCCCTCCCCCACCTCAACCCTCTCAATGTATCTCACTGAAAAGTGAAATCTTAATTCAAAATGTAAACACGTGCTTATATTTGCTTCACGTGCTTTTTTGGCGTGGAACCTTACTGCTGTGTAAGCAGTTGCCGAGTCGCCCTTGGAAAATAGATTCTTGGCTCAAAGGGCTTTGATCGAAGAAGTCACCCTCTGCTTCTGTTTGACCGTACATAAAATACCGTACTATGCTGGTGAGTCGGGTCTCAACTGATAACGGACCCTCACCTGGTTTGCCTACGTGGTCCGAGCCAGCAGGGGCCCTAAACAGTTGTGATGTGAATGATAACGCTGCCATGTCCTCTTCAGTCGATAAGGACTAACCAAGTGTAGAGATGTCGTCCACTAATCCGCTAAGAGCAAAGGTTAAAAGCACTTGGCCCCATCAAACTCTTCGTCAGCTGTGGTCGACCCAGGGCTGTGTGGCTGAAGGTTTCCCCTCCAAACCGTTGCTCCATCAGCCATGCGGTGGAGTCCTGCACCTCGCTGCGACACGCAAGCTCATGTAGTCGCTGCAATTCTGCGGAGGACACCCTCGCGGGAGTGGTTTATTCTCTCTCTTGGCTGCCACTCCGTCATTAGCCTCGACCACCAGTCTCGTGACACGTCCTGCCCAAGCCACACTCGCCTTCATGTGTCGAACATGCGGTCTACAGTGATTTCAAGCCTGTACCTCGTTATGTTTACACGCTTTTAATGGTTGCTCTCATTCCATCAATGCCCATGTGTCAATACATATTTGATATTTACAAAACAATGAAGCCCCTTTACTTAAGGAAGAGCTAGATAATCTTGACTGAAGAAGAGGTATTGCCTGAAACGTTATTTTTTGTATTGTCAGTTGGGGCAGTTCCACTAATTATAAAACCTCAGTCAAAATTTCTAAAATAATACGTACAATGTCAATTTGAATGTACTGTTATTATATTTTGAGGGGAATCAGTGTCTCATTTACAGTCAATCGATGGTTTTCACACCACCATTCCAGCGTGGATGAAGAAGCCGTGTCGTCTGAGTGGGTCTTGACACCGGCGTTTTATGGGCATATCTCCCTCATCAACAACGGTGGGCAAATGGTTTATCTCTGAACTGCGGCTCGAGTTGGTTGACATACAATGCCCACGTCAACAACAAAAAATTGTGATGATTAAACTGACGGTCGGAACATATTTCCTCCTGGCACCTGGTGGTGTTCATTGCACGCGTGCCTGCAGGCCCCTGTAGGACCCTGCCAACTCGTTCCCTGGCCCTCGACTGGCACCCATGCTCAGCCTCCGTCCTTTGAGTATGGGCACGGTGCACAAACATCCGTGCAAAGCTCACGACAACAACGAGACACATTCCTCAATAACACTGGCCTAAGAGGACATATATACCGTGCAAATATGCAATGTATAAGGCGAAGTTTTGGGGTAATTATAATAATTGCCCATCGTCATCAGGGGCCGTCCGTAAATGACGTCACGCACCTGGGGGTGGGGGTCAAACATTTGTGACGATGTGTGACGAGGGGGGGGGGTGAGAAATGTGACGTCACATCAAAATGCGCAACTTTAAATAAATATAGACAACACGTTCTACTTAATTAAATTACTTTTTAATAAATGTTTTCTCATACAACATCAGAGTGCAGCGCCACATTGAATACGCACTACAATGACAATAGTTTAAAGCGATTTGAAGCATGTTTTATTTTAAAAATGGAAATATGGTTTGGGGGGGGGGCAGAGCTTTGTGACGTCATATTTGAGGGGGGGGTCTGACTTTGTGTGACGAGGGGGGGGGGGGTAAAAAATCGTCAGTTGGGGGGGGGGCTGACTTAGACTCGGACCATCCTTTTGGGGTTGATAAAATGTGTACGACCTTTGTGGGGAATTGAACAGCGGTTGTCCTTTGGATAGACTTAACCCCCATCATAGTAACGTGGAGTGGGGGGGGGGTTGTGGAGTGGGGGGGGTGTGGAGTGAGGGGGGGGGGTTGTGGAGTGGGGGGGGGTGTGGAGTGAGGGGGGGGGGTGTGGGGGGGGGAGTGGGGGGGGGTGTGGAGCGGGTGGGGGGGTTGTGGAGTGAGGGGGGGGTGTGGGGGGGGTGTGGGGGGGGAGTGGGAGGGAGTGTGGGAGGTGGAGTGGGGGGGGATTAGAGGGGGGGTTGTGGAGTGGGGGGGGTGGAGTGGGGGGGTTGTGGAGTGGGGGGGGGAGTGGGGGGTTGTGGAGAGTGGGGGGGGGGGTTGTGGAGTGGGGGGGGTTGTGGAGTGGGGGGGGGTTGTGGAGTGGGGGGGGGGGTAGAGGGGGGGTTGTGGAGTGGGGGGGTAGAGTGGGGGGGTTGTGGAGTGCGGGGGTAGAGTGGGGGGAGGTGGAGTGGGGGGGGGGGTTGTGGAGTGGGGGGGGTGTGGAGTGGGGGGGGGTTGTGGAGTAAACCCACAACACAAATCGCCGGCTCAGCAACAACAGCAGCAGCGCCGCTCGCTGCCGTTGTTCTGCCCCACGACGTCAGCGCCGACCCTGATTGGCCGAGATCCTCCTCGTGCCCACCTCCACTGACTCCCCTGATTGGTTGGTGGTGGTCGTAGTGGGCGGTGATTGGTTGTTGGTGGTAGTGGGCGGTGATTGGTTGGTGGTGGCGGCGCGTGTCTATAAGAGGCGCGTTCACAGGGAGGAGGTTCCTCAAACTGCCGCATCGGCCGCGAGAATCGTCACCACCACCACCTCCACTCCACCCACAGAAGCACACTCCAGCCCCTGACACCACCACCATCAGCCACTCCACACTCCTTCCACGCCACCAAGGGCTTGTTGTTGTTGTTGGTGTACGAAGCAAGCAACGCAGCTGCCATCGACCGCCGGAGATGGCCGACCGAGACGTCACGTCGATCGACTTGAAGGACGTGGAGCTGCGAGACGGCTCCCCGGAGGAGCAGGAGGAGCATCGTCACCGGCAGGAGGAGGAGGGCGATGTTGAGAAGGTGCTCATGAACACGCCGGGCGACGCGAACGGAGCTGCGGCCAAGCTCGACGACGGCGCGTCGCCCGCGGCTCGCTTCACGGGCCTCACCAAAGAGGAGCTGCTCAAGATCTCGACGCAGCCGTTCTGGATCCGCACCCGCCTCGCTCTGCTCGTCTTGTTCTGGCTCGGCTGGCTCGCCATGCTCGCCGGGGCCGTGGCCATCATCGTGCAGGCTCCGCGGTGCAAGCCCGAGCCGCCGCGGGATTGGTGGCAGCTGACGGCCGTCTACGACGTCTCGACCGCGGCGTTCGCCGACAATAACGGGGCCGGCAAAGGGGACGTAAGGGGTGAGTGGTGGGTGGGTGAGTGGTGGGTGAGTGGTGGGTGAGTGGTGGGTGAGTGGTGGGTGAGTGGTGGGTGAGTGGTGGGTGAGTGGTGGGTGAGTGGTGGGTGGGTGAGTGGTGGGTGGGTGAGTGGTGGGTGGGTGAGTGGTGGGTGGGTGAGTGGTGGGTGAGTGAGTGGTGGGTGAGTGAGTGGTGGGTGAGTGAGCGGTGTGCGTGGCGCCCGGGGTACGGGGTAAGTGGTGAGTGGTGTGCTTGGCGCCCTGGTGTACGGGGTGTGCGAGTGAGTGTGGCGTACGGGTGAGTGGGTGAGTGAGTGGCGAGTGGGTGGATGGGTGTGTGAGTGGGTGGGTGAGTGGCGAGTGAGTAAGCGAGTGAGTAGCGAGTGAGTGGTGACAGAGTGCGTCGCCCCGGCATTCTGTCCGCCGGCTTCGTGTTGTTAGTCGAGCGCCAACACCCAAATCGTCGCCACCGCCACCACCATCCTCTTCGACACAACGACCACCACCACCACCACCATCGTGGTGGTGGTCGTGGTGGTTGCCCCTGACTCGCCACTTGTTGCGACGCCGCCGGCTTCGTCGTCGGCGTCGCAAGGCCCGGCCTTGATTGCATCATCATCCATTCATTCGTTACCGCACACACCGCCCCTCGTCGCCTTGCAACGTCCCCTTCAACATGGTCACATTGCCGCCTTCCTCGCCCAGACGACGACGACGACGTGACTCGTCGTCATTAACCATCGTGAGCGAGGCCGCCCGCTGTGTAACAAGACGTGAAGGTCGCCCCCCCCCCAACACGGCCCGGCCATCTCGCACGGTGTGTCACGAGTCAATTAGAGCTCAAGCGTGAGACGCCTCCTCTGCGCCACAAGTGGATGTACAAGTGGATGTTGGGCGAGGTGCGACATTGCGACGCGCGAGATGGAGGGGAGGCGGTGGGTGGGAGGTAGAGGGAGGTGGAGATGGAGGAAGAATAGGAGATGGGTGAGGTAGAGCAGGAGATGGAGGAGGAGGTAGAGGGGAGATGGAGGAGGAGGAGGTAGAGGAGGAGATGGGTGAGGTAGAGGAGGAGGTAGAGGAGGAGATGGAGGAGGAGGTAGAGGGGGAGATGGAGGCGGTCGATGACGCGAGTGGAATGCGAGGTGACAGTTCTGTCACCGCACGACGTCTGTAAATTGTTTTTCATTCGCGGGG